GCCTCGGCAGATGGCCGCTCACACTGAGCCTGGTTCTGATGGAGGTTTCTTCTCGTTAAAAGCGAGTTTTTCCTCTCCACTGTCGCTACAAGCATGCTTACTGTGAAGGTTTGCATTCGAGTCAATATGTGGATGCAATCAACTGGTTTTCCTTAGATAGAAAACTTTGAATCAATTTGACTGTATGATCTGGTGAACTGTAAAGTGCCTTGAGATGACATGTGTTGTGAATTGGCGCTATAGGAATAAACTGAATTGAATCCTGTCAACATCAATCAACAATATACTTAGAGTATTGCTTGGAATCATTAATGTATCATTGAAGAATACTGTAATATCCTGTGGCAGCCAATCAGCAGAAGAAAAAAAGCTGGTTGGACTTAGCTCCACCTTTTCAGTATATCTCCTCCTCTTGGAAGCCAAGCTTCTGCAGCAAAGAGCACCCCTTCCCCTATCTGCATGCTACTACCTGCAATAATGAGCAAACACCTGGTGAAAGTGTGCATCTGTTGTGTTAAAATTCCAACTATTTCTCAATCCAGTCCTTTTCTGTAACTTTAAAGAAATGTATTTTTGGATACCAAGAGGACTACTGTACTTTTAAGCTTTCCAAGGATGCCTCAGTTCTTAAAAAATGGCCGCGCTTCATTTATGAAAGTAACCCTCCAACAAAAAAACAAGGGTTATATTTGTGCAAGCTTCTTCATAGATGTCAGCTTTGTGAACATAAGTGAGAGTGACATTTGACTAATAGTAAGATAATCACTAAAAGATTGTACAGTTCTAACACTAAGGAGTATTCAAACCCCTTTGTCATCTACCCAGGTAAGCTTAATATGTTTTATACTTAATGTCTTTGAATAAACTAGCTTAACACTCATGCATGCATGAGAGGATGAGTGGTAGATATCTTTCCAATGTGGAACATCTTGCATCGGTTTGGTTCTTCAGAAAAGGTCTGATGTCGGATCATTCAAATTAAGTTTAATTGTATCCTGAGTTGCCAATTTCCAAATTTGGAAAACAATATTGTATTATAAAATGGTTTTAACAACTAAACACAATGCTCCTAAGACACTTTGAAAACAATGTGTAGCATTGTTGTGATTACGCACTGAAATTGTCATGAGGGAAACAGCAGGTGGGTTCTTAAAGAGACAGGAGGCCAATATCAAGGCATTTGTAAACGGCTGTGATGAGAAGTGCAGTTTTCTTTTTAAATAGACCGTATTTTCTGAACAGCTGAAGGTGACAACTACTTGATTTAGGTATAGAATTAAAGTATATGCCTGGGAATGGATGGCGGATTTACTTTAATCTTTAATCTACACAAAAAATACTGTTCCTAAAAAGATAATAATTTTTTTTATTAAATCTTTACATAACCAGAATAGTCCAATTAGGTAAAAAAAATAACTAAAATCTTTTCCGATGCAGTTGCTGCTTCTTGGCCAGGAAATAATACTTGACACAAGATAGCAGTTTTCACAGGCAGTCTGTATCTTTTCTGTTTTTAGGTTCAAGGGGCGGTGAACGGGCAGCTCCTTACCCTCTCAAACAGCGGTAACACCAAAACCATTTCTGAAGGCATCTTCCAGAGGGGCTCCTCTGTCGTCTACCAGCCCTTCTTAGGTGCAAGTGACTCCCGGGACGTCTACTTCTGGGTTTTGCCAGAGAGCTTCAAAGGAGATAAGGTATGGGGAAACAGCTTCCTTGAGAGGTGGAGCGGGGGATGAAGACGAGCGAATAACCTCTTCGTAGGTCTCCTCTTCTGCTATTACTCTGTGTGTAAAAGTTGAACTACAATTTCAGTTCACAGGAAAGTCCAGCGTGGGCGTCTTGTGACTCCTCACTAACCACATGGATGAAATACCTTTCCACCACTTAGATTAGTTACCAGTCGCCTCTCTCCTGCCACCAGGTGACGGCCTACGGCGGCGAGCTGAGCTACTCTGTGAACTTTGATCCAGCTCAAGGCTCGCGGGGGGTTGACGGACAGCCTGATGTGGTTCTCCAGGGCAACGACATCTTCCTGGAGCACTATTCCGAAATCAAGCCACTCCCACGATTGTCAGAAACTGTAACTGTGACGTTCAGAGAGGTGTGTTGTTTTGGGTGTTAATATTAACTTTTAGCTAAAGCAGAAGTCTTAAGTCTCTGATAATGTGCTAAATTGTCTTATTTTTCACCATAAGTCCTCATGGCGTCGCACTGATGGGCAGCCATGCACTCGGGAGCACCTCCTGATGGCCCTTGCTGATGTTTCCCTGCTTATGATCAGAGCCACATATGTAGACCGCATGACTGAGACCAGGTATTGTGCCAACCTCTAGAAGACTCTCTTAAATGCACCAAAATAGAGCCGAATACAAAGATAAGAGAAACATTTTTTGGTGTTTATTTTGTTGCACAGCATTTCAGATATCAAGATGGACATAGCTGTTCCTCACTTAACTGGAAAGGAACAAGCCCTGGAGGTGGAGCAGTGTGCCTGTCCATTAGGATACAGAGGACCATCCTGTCAGGTAGCTGTTTGGATTACTTTAACTCTAAAAATTATGCAGATAACTGCAAACCTGCAGTATTTTTTCTTCTTTTTTTTGTCACGTTTTTTTAGTCGTTTATCTTCCAAGTGACCTTTTTTGGTAACTTGGATATAAACATCACTTTGCAGCGAATGAGGCAAGATCATGAGGTCAAATGTGGTCTGCAAGATCTTTCAAAGTCCACCTCTGTCTTAAAGCTTAGTGTAACTGTTTATTAAAACGCTAGTGGTAATCTAATATTGCCCAGTGTGTGCACAGTGTGTGTGTAGATTAAGTTAAAGAAAATGTTAGTAAGCTGTTTTAAAAAGTTAACAAGCTAAGATAAAAAGTTAAAAAACTTTAGTTTTGGAACAATCCACTGGATTTTTTTTCTAAGTTTGAAGATGTTTTGCTTCCCAACCAGGAAGCTTTTTCTATTCAAAAATGGCTTTATAGAGTGGACCAAAAACAAAGCCTTGTTTTGGGTAAGAAAACATGCAAATTTAAATGGACGAACGGGTCCGCTACCTTAGGAATGGGTGTCGTTTGGGTTCTTTGTTAGCTAGCAGAATACCTGTCTATGTCTCTGAAAGGGGGGTCGTTAGAGGGAATACAATTCACTATGCAGTATCCAGACTAAATATTTAATTGAAACAGTTATAACCATAAGTTTAGTTTTTGTTAAACAATACTGAAAAAAGCTGCTTTGTTTTTAACTAACTGTTCTATAGGTTTTTCATTAGCCTGAGAATAAAAAAATGAATAAAAATAAATATTCCTGGAAAGTGTCATTGCCATAATGTTAATAAAGGCTTTTCGATCTTCTAAAGGCATTTATTGAAAAATATTTAAAAAATTGATTTTTTAAAATTATTTATTCTTTTTCTTGAACAATTTAAAAGCTAAAGGCTCAACAAAAAAAAAAAAATAATGATAATTTTAAAGTTATATACGTGTATATCTGAAAAAGCATAATCTTTTAAAATACATGCAGGGTGTAAGATAAAACAATATTAGTTAATATATTATAGTAACAGCAAGAGTTTAAAACTGCTTACACCCTGTTGTGTATACAATTATTTGCACACAATAGATCAAATACTAAGCTTTAATTTATACACTGTATTTTTTCCTTATGGGGACTTAGGTGATCAAAACACCATGAGTAAACAATGAATGCACCAAAACCATGAGTAAACATAGCCTCTCTGCACTCAGTGTACGCATCCTTTGTAGAAGAAAACTCCCGAAAATATTTGGACACAAAAATAAACAGGTGAAGCATTTTAGGTGTTCCATAGAATGATTTTTTTTTTGGTCTCACTTGTGTATAAATTATAGATTTTTATGTGGGAGGGGGTAGCTGTAATGAAATTCATAGCAGAAGTCTTACACCTTTTCACATGAATAGAACATCATATATTAAACGTTCAAAATTAGCTACATTTTCCCTTATCTGATAAACTTATATTATTATAAGCTTTGGTTTTCACCTTTACAAAAGAAAGAAGGGATTATTTAAGCACTCATATGTCAGTTAAAATAGACCAGCATCATTAAATAGCATAACTTATTCTGGTGCGATGGCATTTATAGTAGTCTGTCTGAGACAGTGTCAATGACTTAAGACATGGAAATTTGTAATAAGTGAGCTAACTGCAGCTCCACCCTATTAGGTCTGAGACTAAATTTGACCTGTGTGTCTGGGTCCGTTATAGGCCCCAGAATGACGATTGCTTAGTGATATGCTTATGTTAAAAACAGCTTCTGTTTGAGATGAGTCGAAGGCTCTTAGTGCGCCTCTTTGACCTTAAGTTGTGTCGTGAGCGGGATGGCTAGTATATCAGCATTAAGATCAGCATCAGTCAATGTTTGCCGTTGTTTAACATATCAACTATGTTCATAATAATAATTTAAATTGGGCTACTGTTACTCGTCCATGTTTGTGTCCAAATTGTTGACCTTTGTTCATATGTTTTGGGAGGGGACTTGCCATATGCTATTATCTTGGCATGTGGCAGTGATGATGATGATGATAAGAATGATGATGATGCAGCGCAAGTTTTTACTGAAGCAAAGAAGCATTGTCAGCAATTCGTCATGTCTTTTCAGTGTATATTGGGTCCGATGATATGTCTAATTTACTGTATATCACAACAATATTTAAACCGAGATTGGTCCATGTATTCATATTGATTCAAGCATAATATTTGAGATCATTTGCTGTTGCTTAAAAATACTTTTTATGAGAAAGATTGTGACAAAAACGTCATTGTTTTGCAAATCTTTGAAATTTCAACATGATTCACTTGGATTTGTATGTGTTTGTGCAGCATTTAGTATAATCTATACTATGAATATACATTCCCTAAGCCATAATAAAAATAACTTGTGTTTTTTTAGTACCTACATTAGAGATTAGCTTAACAATGTAACTGATGCCAAAAACAGCTCCTGTGGGTATTTCCAAGACAAAATTTTGTTGATTTAGTTTTTGAAGCTTTTGAAGCTTTTTTAAAGCTTCGATTCCTGATTGTATTTCCATTTCCATTTTCTTTGCAAAAATAATGGAGCAAAATTCACTCCACGCATTTGTCAATCCGATCATCATTCAAAAACACAAAAAGTCTTTGGAAAAATCATAAACAGCTGTGTTTTCTACTTCTGTTTGTTTTGTGGTGTTTTACTCTTAAGGTCTGTGCCATACATGTCACACTGGAGTTCAGAATATTAGGTAGAGGGGGGGGGGGGATCACGTGCAGACAGGGTGTCTGCAGGTCTCATTTCTGCTTATATCATGCATGAGAGCATAACTGAGCTTTACGTAAGAGAAACTATACACAGTCTGTGTAGCCTTCCTGTTATCACCCGAGAGTCTTGCTTTCTCTCTGTCTCTTTTGTAGACCTTTCAGAGGCTGTCTCTCTGTGCATCTCTTTTAAATAGTTCTGTTTCAAATTGAAAGATACTATATTTTGTCTGCCCCAATTGCAGGCCCTCCACTGTAACAGATCAACATAAATGTTATCCTATTATAAATTTCTGTTTTTCCTTTGTTTTTGCCCATAATAACTATAACCTCTGCCTTTAGTGTTGGTGCTATCAGATGCCCCACCTGAAGTGGTTTTTCCACGCTTTACTTTACAGGAGTGTGATGTGGGTTTTACAAGGACCACCTCTGGTCTCTACCTTGGCACGTGTGAGAGGTGCAACTGCAACGGCCACGCCAGCAGCTGTGACCCAGAGACCGGCAGGTGTCTGGTAGGTTCTGCCCCTCTCTTCCTCTCCATTGGTGCCAAAGCTGCTTTGATCCTGCCAATAGAACATGCTAATGATTTCTTTGCTCATCCTGACATGTGAAAACTTGACTTCTGTGCTGTGAATTGTTCCAACTCACCTCCTCGTCATTCATGTGTGTTTGTTGCCAATAGCAATGTCTTCATAACACTGCTGGAGACCGATGTGAGAGGTGTCTGCCTGGATTTTACGGAGACCCTTTGAGGGGAGGTACAGAGGCCTGCAAGCCTTGTCCATGCCCTGGGATCACATCCAACACACAGTAAGTTTATGTAGGATGTAAATATTTTATGTAAAAAAACAACTGTATGTTTAGGATTATTGTCCTGCTAGAAGGTCAAACACCATCTCACATCTTTTGCAGATTCTCCTACATTTAAATCTAGCAAGAGCAGATTATTTATCATTATTACTGAAAATATTCTTCTCATAAAAAAATTGCCAGTGCAATAAGACGATATTTACTTTTTAAAACTTCTTGAAATCATGTTTATTTTTAAAACCAGAAGTAATACCAAGTGCGATTGTCATACTGCACTGGAATATTATTGCACTTATCAAAAGTAGAATTTTCTCAAAAGACAATTGGTAATCTGAAAAAAACTGCTCTTTCTTGGTATATCAATCTTAAAACAAGATTAAAACAACATAGTGGCTAGGTTTAAGACTCGGTTCAATGGAAACTGTTAGCAGTGTCCCTGATAGGTAAAACTACCCCGCAGCATAATGGCGCCACTACTGTACTTCTCTATGTTATGTGCATTATTTTGGCCCTTTTTCATTTTGTGGAACTATTGATATTGTTAGTACCTGCTTTCATGTGGTTGCGTCCATACATGTCATACATGTCAAAAGTCTGCCTGTCTAGATTGTTAGGTCACTGGTTATAAGTGGATATAACTCAGAATACTTATTAGGTCTACCTTTACACCACTTTACATCTCTGTTTCCTGGATTAATTATGTATATGACCAGTATATCAAACTAGCAGGTAGCATAAGTAGCCTCTCTCATCTCTCATTCACTAATGTTCTCTAACAGACTTCCTAAACCTTTACAGGACAGCTGTTTGTTCAATTAAGAAGCATTTTGTTCTTTCAGCAGAAATGCAGGCCACAATTTTTCCAACATTTTTTATTTTTTTATTTTAAAAATCTCATGTATCATTTTAGGTCCATCTCACAATTGTATACACTTTTGTGTTTGTCTTTTATAAAATACCAACAATTGAAATAAAGTGTGTGATTGCAACCTGAACTAATATGGGAACAATGACTAGTTTTCAATACACTATTTCAGGAAATGTTTTGGTTTAGAAAGAGGTGAATGTCTTCCAGTCCAATATGATACCGCAGTAATGAATTATTCTCTTTTTTTCCCACAGATTCTCTCCAACCTGCTTCCTGGGCACAGATGGGGGGCCAGTCTGTGACAGTTGTCCCCCTGGATACACAGGCCGGCGCTGTGATAGGTACATCACATTATTCCTTTTCTTTTCTCCTCTTTTTCCTGTTTGTTTTCTTCTGTCCTCTTGGTTCTGATTGGGGGTTTGATGGCTAGTCGGTAGCAAGGTGAACGGGTTCTGTACATAAGCACCCACAAGCTTCATTCACATGCAGGAAAGGCGATATGGCAGTGTCCATATCTCTGTTGTTTTTCATGTTAGCTGAGATTGAGCGGTGTCACTGGATAGGGGGATTTGAATGGTGCAGACCAGTATTCACTGTCCTTCCACAGTTTTATTTCAACTTTTCAACTTTCTCTGTGTCTTTCTTCTTGATGTGTTTGGATGCATTCATACATTTTTTAAGCTTTTTTCCAATGAACAATGTGCCAGTGTCCCATGTTATAGACTTTTCATAGATGCAGCAAACAAGGATTTGTAAAGCAAGTTTAATTTATTCTGTAGCCTTCCAAGGATTTAATACTTGACAAACATCTTAATTAAGTCAACAAATTTAACTAGTTTATGCCATATCGTATTTACAATTAGAATGACTAGTGTCATTTTCACCACTGTATTATCTGCTTGTACTCTCTACAATCTCCCAAACCCGGCTGGATATTTCCAAGTGATGCTGTTGTAACCTAACAGTAGTTAAAAGCTGACCTGGTTGAAAATACATTTTTAAATAGCCTATTACACATTTTATTGTTATTCTCAATTCATTTTTAATACCTTTATCGCATTAGAAATAGCAAACCTTTCTTATTATTTTCAACCATATGGGCTTCTATAAAGTCAGACTTCTGCCAATGGTGCAAAGGCCTAATGCATACTCATACGAGCAGTTTTTTTTTTAAACACACACAAGTAAACCACTCTACATTCTCTGTGGCTAATAGCTTTAGCAAAGCAGCTACATGCTAATTGCTACAAAGTCATCATTAAATACCTTAGTTTATTACAGTTGTGAATGTGTTCTGGCAGCAGCACCAACAAGCTCTCAATTGATTAGATTGAAATTTGGAACTTTGTATAAGCCAAGAAACATTAACTAACATTAGCTTCACTGTTTTTATTGAGGAAAGTGAGGCTTGAATGAACTCATAACTGAACACAGACATTTTCTTTTTGTTTAGAATCAGTTTGCACCCACTGTTAAGAATTTTTCTTTTTATGTGCTGCATTGTGTTTTAAGTTTTCAGTTGATGAGAGAGCTGCTGCATATAAAGTTAGAATTCTGCTTTGTTAACGTTGCTACCCTAAACCATAGACATCGGTAAACGCTGCTAATTTGTAGCAGGGACAGAAGCGGAGAAAAGTGCTTTATTGATATATTATAATATATTAATATAAAATATAGTGTTTATCATATTAACATTTAATTGCAAAATATATTACGACATCTATATTTTTCATCCAGTTTGACTTGACTTTAAGCTGTTTTGAATCAGAATAAATAAGTGCGATCTAACTGATAGGTCATTATAAAATGTGTTTTGGTCTTTCAAGGGGATTTGACATGCAAGAGATTATTGTGATATTATCTTTGACTTGTCTTACATGTGATTAAAATGAGATCTGAGGCACATCCTATTCATTCTGACAGCAGCGGTTTGAACTATGATCTGACCTAAGGCCGGCTTATAGACACTTTGGCGTAGGTACCGGCAGCGTCCAATGGGGCATCTACGTGTTAATGTTTATGCTCTAAACTAGGAGGAAAACAGTACTCTCTCAAGAGGTGGGATTTCTTGAAAAGTAGCCAATCACAGGCAGTGTTCTCAGGTTGGTTCCATCCTCAAAGTGACAAAATTTGACCCACACATGTAAATACACAAGTAGGGGAGAATTTACAGGCACATCAAAAGCAACCTTTGAGTGTAGAGAGAGGGCTGCTGCAGACGGACTAACATTAGTCCTGACTGCGGTTAGCCTCGAGGTCCAGTGGTTGCCACGATTCAATTCAGTTTCAGTTTATTTATATTGCGCCAATTCTCAACACATGTCATCTCAAGGCACTTTACAGTTCACCAGATCGTACAGTCAAATTGATTCAAAGTTTTCTATCTAAGGAAAACTAGTTGATTACATTGAATCATTGACTCGGATGCAATCCCTCACGCTATGCATTCACGATCCTCTCAACATCTGAACGTTTTTTTTTTATTATGCACTAAATCAGTCAAAAACAAGCCCTATAGAGAAGCCTAAAAGCATAATGTTCTTGCCTCAAACAATCTTAAACTGTACTTTTGTAGAACAACAGAAACAGAAAAGTGAACTTCTAACTTAATACTCTCAGCTCTGTGAGCACTCGCCTGGAAGCTGCTGCTGCCGCAGTGCATTCTGGTCAATTGGAACAGTGCTGGGGCTGAGGATGTTTCACTATGACACAAGCACATGAAAACACACAAGTACCCATAATGAGAAACAGTCTTAGTCTCACTCTTCATCGAAGGACCCTAAATTAGCAGGTAACATAAATGCCTACTTAGAAAATACAGTTTCAGTAACATTTTTCCCTCTGTAGTTCTTCCTCTAAGGTAATTTTAAGTCTTCCTCCCCAGTAAAAACATCTATTTTACACCAAACAGTCTCAACGTTAGAGTAACCTGCAGGTATTATATATAACTTATTAAAACATAAAATAAAGACTTCACCTTTAAGATTTCAACCAGCAGAAAATGTCCCAATTCAGATTAACAAAGTTTTTCACAGCATCTCTTGTTGGGAAAAAAAAATGCTTTTTTCTGTCCTTCATCTGCGGTAGTCTTTCTCAGAAGATTCTTTCTGCTTCAGCTTTGCGCTTTGCTGGTAGAAATATATCGAGGTGTGAAATTCTGTCCCGCACAGACCCCCACATCCTGTGTCCTTTAGATCATAAATGTAAATATGGCATTTATGAGGACTACTGTCTGGCTGATGAATCTTTGCTTTGCAAAGGCAAAGATGAACAGGTGACTTTGGGGAACACTCATTTATTTTTAATTTGACGCCTGTGCCTTCAACATGCCTGACTCTGCTGTTTTGATATTAAGAGAAGACAAGCCGGCTGCAGACAGTTGTGGAGATCCTTACCTGGAAGAACACATCGGCAGCCTCTTTCCAGTGGGATGTGGAGCCGAGCCGGTCTTCAATTTCAGCTTGGATAAAGAGATAGATCCTTACGGCAGTGGGGATGATAGTGAAGATGATGAGATTGATGAACCAGTAATAGGCACTACTGCTGTCCCTACTCGGGCTTTAATTTTGACTACAACTCCAAGGGAGAGTACAAAATCAACTAAAGCCATTGTGTTTAATAAAACCTTAGTCAACTTCAATCGATCTGCCTCCAGAGTGCCTCCACGTTTCACTCCCAGCCCAGAAATCAGACACTCCAGCTTTCAACACCTGCTCCGGAACCACCTAAACACTTTCAACAAGCGCTTGAGCATGCTAGAAGGCAACACATTAGATATGAAAGAAAGCCTTCGTAGGATGGAGGACCAGCAGAGTCACCTCAACACCCAGTTAATGAAGGTCATTGGCCTTCATTCACTCCGAGATAAGGATAAGAAGATAACCGAGCTGGAGAGAAGCTACACAGACATGGACGCGCGACTTAAAAGACTAGAGGGAAGGCTGGAAATTCTTATAGATGGCTTCACAGCCCTCGCTCAAGAGATGAACAAGGTAAAACGGGCAAGACATGTCTCCAGATGGCCTCAAGATAAAAAGGTTTTGCCTACATTAAGCACAGTCATCGCTATCCCATTGCATTCAACTCCTCAGAATGTGATCAGAGTTAAACCAACTGAATCACCAATTGCCAAGAGAGCAACAGTTCCGCAAAGCATACCTACCCCAAGTATAGTTTCAACCAAGAAAAAACCTCTTTCAGTCCCACAGAGAAACAAGAAAATGAAATCTGAGGTAACCACTACTACCAAGTCCCTAGCAGTAACAAAATCAGCCAAAAGTCACATTCCATCCGAGCAAACAAACAAGCCAAAGACCCTCGTTAATAAGAAAAAGCCTGGTCCAAAGTCTACATTAAAAACTCCAGTTAAGCCTGTAACCAAAAGGCCAAAGGGGAGTGGGTCATCTGTGACCTCTAAACATATTTCACAGCCAAGACAAACAAAGTCCAGGAAAACTAAACAAGAGGCAGCCGTCACTAAATTTCAACTGGAGCCCCCAGCTCACAAATCAAAGCCTCCAACTAACCCTCAGCTGCACAAACAGTCTGTACAGGCCAAAAGAAATGAATCTTTGTCGCGTATCAAAAACACTGGACGTAGCAAGGGTGTACGATCAGATGCACCTGTCCAGAAAACGCCTAAAGGCAGTTCAAAGAAATTGCCAGAGCCTCCCAGGAACTCAAAGCAAAATGTCAAAAGTACTAAAGATCCTGCTAAGAAGGAAACAGTAAACACACACCGAACAAAAACTACCACCGTCAGGAGGACCATAATCACAAGAAAAAGGAAGAGTAATTCCAATGGCAAAGCTTCACCAGGACAGAGTGTCACAAAAGTAAATAATAAAATCAGGCCTCCCATTACTCTTAAAACAACCAAGAAAAAGGACTCTAAGAAGAAAACAAACTCTGGCATTTTGGATCTACTGAAGCTCCTACATGGCGATTCAAAACCGAAGAAGAATCAAGAGAGTTCTCTTCATATTGTTTTAGGAAAACTTGCCATTCCGATCAAAATCATCCCAGATTAATGAGCAGCAGAATGTTGTGTTGGACTATTTTTCTATGGTTTTTCCTAAACCTCAGATAATCTGTATACTCAGGTCCTCACTGCTTGAACAGTTTGTTATGAAGGGGGTTTATTTTTTACTGTGGTTATAGAAGTACACATGCCTGTTCTAATATCTATATAGGATGCTTACATAAAGAGGTGCTAATAAAATATTGTAGCTGTTGCACAAAAATATGAAGAACTAGCTAAACATCCTTTCTTCACTGGTTGTGTCAGATTTTTGTTTTTAGTCGACTACCTCATGTTCAGCGGCATTGTTTTTTTTAATGC